CACACACACACACACACACACACACACACACACACACACACACACACTGGAGCCAGAGGCATGCTGGGAGCACACAGTATAGCAAGGCATGAGACAGGAGTAGACTGTAGATGTGCTACAGCAGGAAAACTGCTCCTGTAGGTCTGAGAGATGGAGCATGGAGTAGCAGACAGGGGTGGGTACTGACACCAGAAGCTCCCCTATAGATGACAATTCTATTGAGGGACTAGCTCTGACCCCAACTTCAGCTTCCATTGTAGACAGCTCTGACAGCATCCCTGAGACCACTCGATTAAGATGGAGGTGGGAGGCAGTGTGCTTGGCCCAGTGCCCTGAGCATGTTACTGGGAGGCCAGCCTTCTGGGATTGACAAGTAGACTTTAAAAGCACCAATTGTCCAATCCCTAGGAGGACCTACTGCCTACCAGATCCCAGTGGGCAGGGCAGCAGTCCACAGGACCTCTGCTCTGAGTTCACCCTTCATCGCCTCCACATTTGTACCTTCCAGGCCAACAATTAAAAATCTCCATGACTGTGCTGGGATGCCCTGCCAACTGCCTGGCATACAGCTCTGGATACAGGGGAAGAGGGAGAAAACAGGCCAAGGCTGAGGACACTCATGCCAACCTGGGGTTCACAGACCCACTGCATTACCCTTCCCCAGGCTCCAAGACTGCTGGTCCAGGAATGGGCACCTGAACAGAGTTCAGCCAATGATATCTTCACTCTAGGACTGCAAAACCCACATGATAATGGGGAAGTCCGGGGTCAGGAAAAGGTCATTCAGACTCGGGCAAAAACTAGCAGCAGCCAAGGAGTCAGGTGGGGGCAGGAAGGAAAAGAAAGAGAAGGAGGAACTGGTCCACACCCGGACAAGGTCCGATGGCCCATAAGGTAAAAACTGAGAAGTGGTTTCAATAGCTTCCACTCACGTTTTTAAAGATCTGTAGATTCCTGTGCTATGAAATGCCTTGTGCTGTCTGGGGCTGCAGGGCCTTTTGCACATGATGCTGCCCACAGGTACTATTGTTTTCTCCTTTTACAGAAGCTGCAGGCTTCAGATCTCAGCTAAACCATCACATCCTTGAGATTTCTGGGACCATCCTTCTGAAAGTCTTCTTCCTTACAGGATGCATCTCAAGGAAGGACTAGTTCTCTCCCTGCCCTTGACACTAGGCACTCCAGGTCAGAGCCAATGAAGCAGGGTCCTGATGATTTGGTCCTAGGATACCCTGGCAGGATGCTGTGTTTGATCAACCCTAGAGAACACATGAGCCCAACCTGAATATCTTTCTTTCTAGAAGCTGTGGCTTCATGTCTGCTCAGGGTCTCTCTGGTGGCTGAGGATGTGAACCAGTTGGCTTGAAAGGAGTCTAAAGACCTGGAGGGTATACTGGTCTTTTAAGATGTCCTAACAATGAGCCTGGCATGAGCTTGGGGCACTAACTGTGTGACCACAGATTGCACTGGGCTCTATTCTGAGCACAGAGCCTGGAAGAGCTCAGGGCACCACTTGCATGCAAAATCCTTGTACCGGGCAGGGCTAGATCAACTCCTGACGGCCCATCGTGGCCTCTCCTATATAACAAGGTCTGACTCCCCAGGGGTCAAGGAGTTACCACAGTCCAAGTAACAGGAAGATGCAAACTGGAGGTGGAGCCAGGATGACCTTCACCTCTTTTCTTCCAAGGTCCAAGCAGTCTGGGGATCAGAGAAGTGAGTATATTCACCATGGGTGAGGGCCAGGAAGAAGCTGCACTGAGAACCTTCGATATCCAATGAAAGCTCAGCTTTGTGCTTTCTTAGAAATGTGGAGGTCTCTATTATGGCCTGCAGGTCTGAGAGCATGGGTCCATGGAGGCACAGAGGATTGGGACCTGAGTCCTTAGGGGTCAGGTCCTGAGAGGACCACGATGTGGGCCTGGTCTCTATCCTCTCTGCCACTAAGCCTTTTTGTTTTTTTGCTGGTATAAATGGTGCTATGACAGTGCACTAGACAGCAGGGGTCTTTATGTCTCCAAGACACTTCCTTTCCAAGGAGTGGGGCCCTGAGTGGGGAGATCCCCAAGGGAAAGGACTGCCACTGCAGATGTACAGGGAAGGGTCTTTCTTGGCAGGTGATGGTTAAAATAAGAGTAGATAGAGTGCAGCAGACAATGGCAGCTAGCTCTCTGTCCACTCAACACACACACACACACACACACACACAGAGAAAGAGAGAGAGAGAGAGAGAGAGAGAGAGAGAGAGGAATAAGAGAAACAGACAGAGACAGAGAGAGACAGAGAAAGACAGTGAGAGACAGAGAAAGACAGAGAGGGAGAGAGAAATGAGAGAGAGAGAGAGAAATGAGAGAGAGAGAGAAATGAGAGAGAGAGAGAAATGAGAGAGAGAGAG